GAGTATGATAGGTTATCTTTATTAATACACATTATTAATTTAAAACATCTCTCTTGATTTTCTTCCCAATATGAGCATCTTTTTCTATGAAAATTTAATTTATGAAAACATCAATGCATCGACCATGCACCGATTTAAAAAAAAAACATCGATGGACATCGACATCGATGTTTTCAAAAAATTAACTTTTCAAGTCGAAGGACTTACATCCCTAGCCAATGCCCATTTCTACTCTGAACACGAAAACAAGCGAAAATCGATTCATCGTTTTTACGTCGTTTTTAGTCGAATTGTCCCTATCTTTGCAATTATACATTTGCCAGGGGCAAGGGCGTAGGCAACTTTTACCAAAGGGGGCCGCAAATTAAAAATTTTGATTAATGCACGATGCATTTAAAAAATAATTTATGCATATGGTCAATGAAAAAACTTCAACAAATCCAACTCAGATCCATTTTAAGGTGGAATAGTGCGTCATAATATGTGTGGTCGACTTTATAATGCATACATACATATGTACTAGCAGGTCTTGTCGTCTTTGCTGGTTCAGTATTTGTGCTTACAATTGTACTTATTGTATTTACTATATGATATTTCTCGTCCGACACTCTCTAAAGTTTCTAAAGAGTTCATTTCCCAAATAGCAAATTACTTTGGTACGATTCGAGAGCTAGGACATAAAGTATAATAAATACTATGTATGATTATATGTGCATACATACATATGTATAGGGATGATAGGGATACATCAAGGCAAGTAATTTGATTTTGCCGTGACAGCTAATTAACAACGATTTCAAAAAGGTTAAAATTTTTGCATTATCGGTATATTTTTATACAAATCAAGTAAGTTTTTGTAGATTATGGTTCTGAGAACGCATTTTAATCAAATTTGGTCAATAGAAAATTTAATCAATCATGGGAAAAGGTAAAAGATGTACCCCGGCCTTGCTGATAGTTGACCTTTAAGACACTGGCATGTCTTATCAGTCAATATCAACAGAGCAAAGTTGCTTAAAAAGGATGGTTTACAATGATCTTGAACATTTGTAAAAGTTCGACACAACAGAAAATATTCCACGCAAAAAGAGACCACGCAAAATATCGGATCACAAGGATAGGAAGGTTATTCGAATGGGTAATTTGGATCCTCATTTGGGGATCTGTAGAAATTCAGCTTGAATTTAGGTATCAAAACGATGCAACAATATCTTAAGATGCGGTCGCTGGTCGTTTACTTGAGGCTAGGGTCAATTTTGATGCATGAACCCACTCCCGATATTACGGATTCTTCGTAACTCCGAGATGTACATAGGTGGCTATACAACTATACGGCGTTACGGAAATCTTGTTTTTGTTATTAAATTTCTAGCGTTTGAAAATGTGCGCTCCGAAGCCACGCTACTGGCTGGAATGCAAAATATTCTGCAGCTTGTTTTGTGCAAGAGAGGAACTCCCTCCTTCATATAATGAATTGTACAAGACAAATACGACGCTTTTAAATAATTATCTGTCCATATATCACTGGTGATGGCATATCCAAAGGCTTTATATTCCTCAATTTCGACATTTATCGGACCAAAGTGATCAAATTTTACAATAACTAGAGTAGAGTAACTCGAATATTTTCCGGTATGTCAATTGTTTCATTCCGTTTTACGTTTCATTTATTCTAACTCATTTCAATGAATGTCGTATGCTATGAGACACAAGACGCACTCATATTCATACAAATTTATTTCATTTTCAATGTTCCACTTACTCAACTCAATTCGATTCCATTCTTTTCAACGTACCTTATGAGTGAAGCCGTGCAGCTGTCTAGTATGTATGCACGTGTTATTTAATTAAATTAATTAATAAATTTTTTAAAATTTTTTTTCATTTTTATTTTTATCCTCTTTGTACTCTCCAGTACAGGGTCCTATCTTGTTGTATTTCAATGCCTTACAATATTGGCAAACTGAGTTCATTCATAGGTCCAATAGCAACACAGTTGTAAGCAGTGTAATCAATTGACGTATCGCAACAGAAAACAGCTCCATTCAAACTTGCAGCATTATTAGTCGAATGTCTCACTTCACGGGTCTGTCTTAACCGAATTCTTTCACGCCAGTTAGTGATTATGTGTCCGTATGCCAAGTTTCACTATGATAGACCGATATAACAAGGAGTTATAGCCATAAATATATTTGCTGCCCGAGACGCGCATAGACGCAATTGCTTTGTATATGTGCAATTATACACCCTTTACGTGAGTTCGAATACCAAGAGGTAAAATCGATCAAAATTTTTTTTTTAATTTGGCATACGGACACATAATAACTAACTGGGGGTATTTGCAAAATTTGTGTTCGAAATTCCAAGAATTACGGGAGTTACGATTTGCGGGGAGAGGGTGGAAGGAGAGAAATTCCAAAATATACATTTTCTGAGATATAGGCGATTATACGAATGGAAAATCAGGAAAATCCCATAGGGGGAAGTGGGGGGGAAACTCTACGGCATCTTTGTGCAATTTGGTGTCTCTATCTCTTATAGTCTCTGAGATCTAGGTGATCATATGGACGGACAGACAGGGCTAAATCGACTCGTCTTGTCACGCTGATCAAGAATATATATACTTTGTGGGGTCTGCTACGCCTCCTTCTGCCTGTTACATTTTTCAACTCGCGCAAACTTAATATACTCTAAAAAAATGCGATTGCAAAATTCGTAAGCCAAGAACTGCAAATCGCTTAAATATAAGCCAGGACTTTCGCGGACTTAGAAAAACCTTACTAGAAAATTGCTTTACAACTCTGAATAAAATAGTAATAATAATAATACCTTTTTTTTGGAAATAAAAAATATTTTGAGAAACATGCATGTGTAAATCATCTTACAGAAGAATGCCGGAAAGCTGTAAATAATGACGACACAACCGAGGGAAACCCAAATTATACATACATATCGGTACACTCATACTCGTATGTACGTACATACATATATACCTGTAACTGTGTGTAATTGGCCAATTCCATATTGAGTAATTCACAATGTATCAACGTAAACTAAATCTACATATGTGTACGTGTATACTATATATGTACATACATATGTATGTATGAACGTAATATAATATTAGACACTCATTCATTATCTTAGCATAGGTAAATGTATGTATGTATTTTAAATATACTATATCACGTAAACTTACTGATGCTCGTGCTCTGTCGGCGGGTTCATTTTCAACTCTTGCAATTTTTCAAAAAACCCCTTCCACATTTGCTCCTCGTCCATAATGTCTGTGCAAATACAAATTTTACTTTTTTACAATCCAAAGTATGACACAAAAGTTAGCTAGGCCCACCTCAGTACGCGAACAGAGATTAGAGTAGACTGATGCAAAAGCTGCGTCATGGAGTTGATTCAGAGCTGCTCTCCCGTTCTCTTCCTATTTTGTGTGATGCTTATATGTATACATACATACATATGTATGCATGTATGTATGTATGTGGTTCTTCCATTTTCTACTCAAAACTAAAAATTCTCTTATAAAAGAACCAACCTATGTACATATAGTACATACATATGTATGTATATGTGTCTGTACAAAATGTGGTCTACAAAATCACATTAAAACGTGTGACGCACAGGTTTCAGTTTGACTGGGACTTTAAAATATACATATGTATATATACATATGTATGTACAAGCACATCCAAAAAATGCAATGTTTTAAAATATTAATTGTGGATTTATAAAGAATACAAATATTGATTTGCAATTCTGTCAGTGGGGGATGTCATGCAAGCTTGTAAAAATTGCTCTTATGCTACGCAAATTACTTGTAATTACATTTTTTACATTATTTTTCCAATCCCCCTTTCGTAAAAGCTGCCTACGCCCTTGTACGTACACATGTACATATGTATAAAATGACAACATAAGAGTTATAAGCACTTTATAAATACTATTCATACAAATTTATACAACATACATACATACATATGTATGTATGTACATAGCTTACCTGTGGTTTGATATTAATGTTACCAAGTGCAGTTTCCATTTAAGAATTTAGCATTTCCTACGATAAGCCAAGGCACTATTTTTTATAACCACCAGTGTCATTTAAACTGTTCCAATTACATGCAAAATTGTATTGATCTTTATGGAAAATACTTTTAAACACAATCATTAGAAATGGGCGTATAACGTAGTCTATAAACATGTACATACATACATATGTAATGTACATACCTGTATTTATAACTTATATTGCATTTAAAATATGAACAAACATATGTACACTTAATTAATTCAAAAAAATAAAATAATAATTTGTTGTATGTAAAGCTGCTCATAAATACTCAATTAGTAAATACATACAAGTCAAAGGCGTCGTTCCATCTTCCATTTCAAATTTCAATTAAATAAGTTGACTATATAATTTATGTATTAATTTCTCAGCCCCAATTTGACACAATTAGATAACAATTGGTATGATATCGAGCAGAAAAGCCAATCCATATGGTGGAAGTGGATGTTACTACATATAGAATAGGATCAAATTTTAAGGCAACTGTATGACGTATATTCCATAAAGTTTACCATGTGAGAAAAGTGGGCGAAACCACTAACTAAAAACAATCTCAAACGGTCGCCACAACATCTGTACAAAATCCTTTCGACTGAAACGGGGAATGATTTCTTACATCGTAAAACGAAGGAGCATGCAATACTTTGGTAACTTGAAAAATTAGAATACCTTATCTATGGTGTATAAAAGGAAATACAATTTGGGTAAGATGAAATTATAGCTTTTATACATACATACATACATAATTTGTGTACATTTTTATTCGGATGCAAAGAACTTTTAAAAAATGGTTACAGTGCAACTACAAGGAATGACTCGAGCAAACCCTTGATATTGTAAATCGATTCATTAATTTGTTTTTAAATTGTCTGAAAGCGTTAATCAATTTTTATAAATATTTGTGTTGTAATAAATATTTACGTAAAAATGTTATCGTATTTTTTATTAATAATCCTAATGCCGATTATTGGCTAGATTTTCAGCTTAATCCTAGATGCTTAAGTGTTTTATGATTTTCTTCATTCCTACTCCTTGTATGAATTGTTAATAAAAAAACAAAAAAAGTTGAAATCATCGTCTCTTGTGTCCACTCAAACATGCTAGATGATTTATGCGTATAAACATATGACAATATTGTCAGTTATCGATTGGCATTTCATCCGCCGAAGCTCAGTCATCCCTCTTTCAATAATCATTGCTTCGAATCCGATCTTTTTCATTATCCTATAAAATTTAAAGTTTTAAAATTATGGGTCTAAAATATTTAAGATCAAATGACATACTTTTGGAAAGTCCCTTTGCCCTACTATGCCAGCTCGATACCGCATGTCACTTTTTATTTGATCTGTGCCAAAATCTCTTTCCCGGTTACTTAGCCTTTGCTTGGGTTGTAAGTGATCATCTCTTCGATTGTTATCGAATTTGAGACCATGGCGGGAGCCAAGGTCATTCTCTCTGTCAAACTCCACGTTATCTCGTTCCTTAAATTGATAGTCATTGCTCAATGTCCGCTGGCTGTCAAAACCTCGACGGTAGTCACTGTAGCTATTCTGAAATCCCCCGCTCCCTGTAGCGCTTCTATGATTTGTGTTGCGAAACCCACCGGGGACATATCTTTGTGCTAGGTTACTGTTGTTACTGCCACGGTTATCGCGCATGTCACGTTCTCTGTCGTCGTTTTGCCGAAGAAAATTTCGGTGTTGAGGTGCTGGGCCCCCCCCGGTATTATCTGGTACATACATGGTTGGCCGTTTTGATGAGACTTCTTCTTCCTGTTTCTTTTCATAATGGGAGAAATCGTCGAAAATGGACGTAGAGTGCTTATATGAGTGCAAAATTTGAAGGACCTCAATTCCTTTTGCATTTGGAACTTCCTGTGTGTCTCTAGAGTTTGTTACCGACTTATTGTCATTATTTTCGAGTCGAATATGGCGAAGTTTTCCATTAGGGACATCCTTCACATATATCCATTTAACCTTGAATTTCCCCTTCCACTTGTCTTGGGACCAAACGCTTGATGTTGAATTGTAATCTACTGCAGTCATCATTTGCGCCATTCCACAAAAATGACCCGATCCATTTACAGAGAAAAATAGCAAAATATTACCGCCTTCCTTCTGTCGCTCTTTAAAGGCATCGTCCAGTCGCTTGTTACCATGATCAGTTGAGCACCAAATCTCATATTTTATACTGCGATGAATGTCATCTTCAGAATATGATTTAATTACGAAAAATCTAGAAATTACGATCATATACATAAATGAATAAGAATATAATAATCAGTTAAATACCGTGCGGCAGTAGCCTTATTCAAATTGAGTTCTGAAGGATTATAGTTGTTTTTGTCTTTCAGTTCTTCTAACAGAGATTGCGGGTCAACTGGTAGATGTTCAACAAGAGGTGCATCTTCTGCACTTCGTGGATTGTTTTCATCGCGATATTCGTATTTTGGACTCTTTTCGCTGTCGTTACGGCCTCCACTACAATTGCCTTTGTGGTCACTATAACGATTAAAATGAATCGTTGTTTCAACTCGTCGGCTCAGCGTGCCTGAAGGTCCACATGATGTCGCTGCACGTGAGCTCGATTGATGTACTGGATGGGACGTTGTCCAGCTCTTGCGCATGTGTCCATTAGGCGAGCCTTTTAATTTGCTTATGTTAGTGTTGTTACTTATACCCTTGTTGTCGTCTTTATTAGAAAAGTCTGCACTTGTGTAATCATTTTCAGATCGCACACCCACAGATGGTTCTGGACCAAGGTTGACTGAAAAGTCACAATTGATATCGGCACATGACAAATCAATTGGCGGAGGTGGCGACGGTACTGGCGGTGGATTATTGTTTGGCAGATCCCATGTATTAACATCTAAATTGTGCTTTCCTGGTACCATTGGCGGTGGTGGCATGCCCGGACCCTTTTTTTTATGGCTGGAAGCGGTAAAAGTTGTCTGCGTATGCCAATAAATTTTTTCTTATAATATAGGAAAGCTTCTTTGATAAATTAGATTTACTAACCCTCGAAGTTAGCTTAGCTGGCTGAGAAGCTATGGACGCCCATGTTGTCTTTTTCGGTACTGCGGGTATTGAATTCGTCTTAATTTCTTCTGCCGGCTCATTAACGTAACTGTCCAATTTACTAGACGTGTAGCCTTCTTCATTTCGATTGGGCTATTAAATAATTTAAAAAAAGGGATTCAATGTTTTTATATGTTTAAAACAATAGCATTACGAAAATCTTTAAAATGTAAAGATTTTCTAATTAAATTTGAACACAAAATGCAAAAGAAATTTCGGTTCCACTGAAATACATACCCGCATTGGATGTACAGGATTCTCGCCTACAAGGCGCCTAGAGTGATTTAAGTGGTAGTCGTCCCTCTTAGAATTACTAAATGCTCCAGGCTTCCCATACTTCCTATTTAACTCTAAAATAATGTTTTTATAAATTGTATTATTTGCATAGTAAATTTTTAGTAATAAAGTCAACATTGGATAACAATATAACCTTTAATTTAAACTTAAGGCGGTGTGTCGACTTCCATAAACTATTGTCTTTTTCAACTTAGAATTCTGAGCCAACAAGATGCTTGTATTTTTAAATTTCAGTTTGACGTTTGAACAAATTCAAATTAATTTTTTAATATACATATTTCTTTTGGCAACACTTTTCTAAATTATCTGCTAACGATGGAAAAGGAAAAAGAATTGGGCGGGGAAGAAACTGAGTCAATTCAAATTAAGATTGGAATTATTGGTGAATCCGGTCTCGATACCCCAGCAGTACTAGAAAATAGAATGGAGTATGCCGTTTGTACCCCTTTTGGGAAGCCGTCGGACACCATTATCGAAGGAGACATTGAAAACGTCCCGTGCTGTCTACTTTCACGGCACGGACGTATACATGATATAATGCCATCTAATGTGAACTACCGTGCCAACATTTGGGCTATGCGCAAAATGGGATGTACTCACATATTAGTCACTCACACCGTAAGCTCTCTTCGAGAGCATATCCAGCCAGGAGACATTGTAGTGCCTCATGACATAATTGATCATACAACTGGACGCATTTCAACGTTTTACGATGGTGCTTTGGGTAGTCCATTTGGAGTTTGTCATTTACCTATGTATCCTCCATTCAGTGAGCACACGCGAAACCATCTTATTTCTGCTGCCAAAGAGCTTGATTTACCTACTCATGTCAAGGGAACGGTCCTTACAATCGAAGGGCCGCGATACTCTACAAATGCGGAAAATAACATTTACCGGAAATGGGGAGCCGACATACTAAATATGACACTTTGTCCGGAAGCTGTGCTAGCCAAGGAAGCCGGTATTTTATACGCTTCCTTAAGTTTGGTAACCAACAAAGAGTGCTGGTGCGTAGGCCAGCCAATTGCAGCTACCCAGGAAATTATTTATACGTATAAAAAGCAAGTCGACAAAATACAGAAAGTTTTAATGAAAGCTATATCTAATATAGCAAAGGAAGACTGGGCCGAAGAAGTTTTAAAGGCAAAGGTAAATATTTTACCCATATAATTAGCCCTTTATGATTTTAAGTTCTTATTTTAGATATTGGTATGCAGTAATTTTGCGAACAGCAATCGATAGATCCGATTCGTAGTCGAGGTTTTTCTTTGTACTCTTTTCCTTTATCATAAGAATAATAACGACCTAACCTACTATAACAAGGTGTTTTTTGGTATTTATCTGATGAAAAAAACGTAACTAAATATATTGGCAGTTCAAAAGTTTTTTTTTTTTAATTCATTAATGGACATACCATAGTTGTTTTGAGGTTTACGGCCTTTGCTAGCGTTGTTCCAAGTGGAATTTTGATTTTCTTTGACATTGAATGGTGGATATTGGAATTGCATTGAGCTCGGATTAGCTAAAAGGGTATAAATATTAAAAACAAATCTATTCGTTAAAAAAAGAAAACATTGTTCAAAAATTCATACTACCAGAATTATCATCATTGGTTGGAGAAGCTAAATTTTCATATGATGCCTCGTCGACTTGTTGACTCCATGGTATATTTCGCTCCTCAATACTTTTTGCTGTTCGGGATTTAATTTAGCAATACCAAAAAATGATTAAAAACAATCACTGCATTAATAATAAGTAATAATAGTAGTATAACAAATACTAATGAACGGCAGAAGAGCGGATAAGTATCCTTTAATGCGAAATGGACCCAAAACAAATAATTACCTGTATTTCCGGATATTTTCATCTGAAACGAAAAACTAAAGATGAACTAATATGCAACGCGACTAATTGGTAAAACTTAAACTGTTAAAAAATATGCAATTATATGTAATTTTTTTAGACGCTTATTCCAGAGGTAATGGATTCAATCCAGTTAAAAATACGACTACTTACCTGATCCACGCCTGACATTTGCTGCAGAATTCAGCTTTTTGCTGGCTGCGAATTTTAAAAAGAACAATCAGTTCCGTATAATATTAAGGGACATTTAAATAATGTTACCTTCGCGGATATAAAGATAAAACACAATACAGATCTAATTTTGCAGTTAAAAACGTAATAAACAGTTTTTAGGTATGTATATTTTCAACTTAAAAGAACCACTCACACTTGCACATTTTTTAACACCATACATACATACATATATGCAGTAGTTGCAACAAAACCAAGCCGATATTTACTTCAACGCCGTTAATTTTCTGAGATCAGTGTTGTAAAATTGAGTTGCACTCAAATAATTTATCTATATTTATATAAATAATTTGGGCCCTAAAATTTAAAATGATTGAATTTAACATAATACTATGATTATTTCCTTTCGGATGTACGACCACAATGTTTGCCAAGAGCATACGAAATTAAATTTGTATTCAAGACAACAAAGCCGTAGTATGTAGCACACGCAAAATCAATATATACTGAATGTATCGATAAGAAAATTAAGAGTGAGCCGAAGTGAGTAAGATCCCTGCATTAATTTAATATATTCCAACCGCATGTACATATATGTTTTACATAGCGTAAAACACTGAACTCAAAATATATAGAAATCCATAAAAGAAGGTCATTAGTGCAAACAAACAATAATCCCATTTGATTAAGTATCAAGTTTAAACATCAATTTTGCCATTATTCAGTTAAATTTGAAAACATAAAATTAACCAAATTGTCCAACGAAAAAATTAGTAAAAATTAACTAGTCCTTTCAACATTGATAGTTTCCTGGCATGTTCCTCATTATCGATAATAATCGATAAGCTTAAAATGTATTTGTTATAGCATAGTTTTGGGATACATTTTGTTGTACAATTTCTGTACATACATATAAAAAAGCTTGTCCTCAATAACTGACTGGTAGTTGATCAACGCACAGTCCAAACGGTAAGAGTTACAAGGCTGAAAATAGGAATTAGACTAGTTGAGTGGAAACGGTCATGGAAAATCCGAACTCTAAAGATGGGAAATGGGGTTCCAAAGTTCTTTTATACCCTGTACCCGAAGGGTAAGAGGGTATACTAGTTAAGTACAAATGTAAAAGTATATATTATTGATCAGTATGACAAGACGAGTCGATATAGCCATGTCCGTCTGTCTGTGCGTCCGTCCGTGTGTCTGTATGAGCGCAAGGATCTCAGGAAGTACAAGAGCTAGAATAACCAAACGTGGTATCGAGGTTTCCTTAAGTCCTAGGCTTAAGTTCCTAAGTCCTAAGTTTTTTTTTTATTTTGATACACCTCTCCCGCGATTCGTGCTTTTCAATTTTAATTAAATTTAATACAAATTGTTCAATACAAGTACATACAAGTATACAATATACAAAAGTGGATACATGTACAGTTTCAACAGCATACATTTACATCAGAATCGTGTCTCTGCGTGTATTTATGCAGCACAGAGTTAAACTAAAGCAGCAACAACAACAACAGCTTGTATCTTCTGAGATCCTTTCGTTTACACAGACGGATGGACGGACAGACAGACATGGCTATATCGAGTCGTCTTGTCATACTGATCAATAATACAATACTTTTAGGGGTCTGCCACGCCTCCTTCTGTGTGTAACATACATTCGCACTAAACTAGTATATATTATAATTAGCACGACCAATATTTGACACCGTTCTAGTGTTAAAAGATTACTCAACTAACAACGCAACAAATATATTCAGAAGAATTTTAAAGTCATTTACGATTAAGTTCATTCTGTTAATGTACAAAATTCTTGCAATCTACAAAAGTAGAAGCACGCCTTTTACTATACATTCACATCATTCAACTTTGAAAACACATAATTGTGTTGAATTGCTAAGCTCGTGTATTATTTTAAATATTTACTTCATTTGTTTGTTATAATTCTCTAACAGCTCGTTTATTAATGTCAATTGATTGCCCTTCTAAGTGACATTCTAAGTGGAAGCAATGAATTCAATAATGTGATCTTTTTGAATTGCGAGTTAAAATAATCGAATATTGTAGACATAAACCGAAATAATCCGAATATTATGATCTTATATTGTTATTTTTTGCAATTTTTTTTCTTCAGATCTTGTGATTATTGTGGAATTCGTATGTAGTACATATATCTTTTTTGTACAGAAGACTGCGTTTTGAGCTAGTCTTTTATCAACCCTATGGCCCTTGTTTTCTATCGTATTTGATTTATTTGACTCTCCACGTTGTCTTTAGTGAATTGTCTTTTTTTATACGCTGTACATAAAATGTACAAGAGTATGTATATTAGCCTTGCGGGAGCTGAAAGTATATATTCTTGATCAGCCGAGACGAGTCGATCCAGCCCTGTCCGTCTGTCCGTATGAACACCTGGATCTCAGAGACTATAAGAGCTAGAGACACCAAATTTTGCACAAAGATGAAAGTTTGTTTTGTTTTTCTTTACTTTCTTGGTGTTTTAGAAAATCTCGATAAAAGTTTGATCATTCTAGCTCTTATACATACGTATGCATTTCATATACAAGGTATACTGACCGCGGAATCGTTACAGTAACAGAAGCTTTGCCAGATATTATTTTTAACATTGAGAGAGGAAAGTTAAGTTTCTGGCTTTATCGAGCAACATAAAAAATAGATAACAGGGCCTCAGTATCTGAACTTCCCGACGCCGGTGGTGTACAATTTAATGCGTTTCTCTCTATCGTAATACACATCGAATGATGGACAGATGTGTCTGGTACTGATTGCTTTCTTACATGAGTACAGAGTATTTCTGCCTTTCTCTTGTTTCTTAATGACATTGTACATTGGGCCGAATTGCCAAATTATAATTGGCATAAAGTCGAAAATCTAAATTTTATTTAAATATATTCAAACTCGATTATAAATATTTTGGCCAAAAATGCATCCTTGCACTTCTGATCGACTGTCAAATTCAGGTTATTATTCAGCTGAATTTTGTGACAAAATTTACGAGAAACTTTTGTTAACTATTATCAAAAATTGATATTGAAGGCCAGGGTATGTAGAATGAACTGAGTAAAAACAAGAGAGAACGTTACAGTCGAGCAAGCCCGATAGTGAAGTACCCTGTACCCAGGTAAACTTCCGACACTGAGGTATTTGCGCCCATAGCAGAAGCAAAAAGAGGAAGAAGAAGAGCGAACTTGTTGCTGCAGTTTGGTGGGTTGCACTGGAGAGAATTTGTTTCGCTAATAACTTTTCTTAGAATTGACCGAATTGGATAAACAACAGTAGATAATTATATATAAATTATGTGTGCAAAGTTTGATTTAGGTAGCATTTGAAATGTGGACGCTATTGACGAAATTCTGTAGCGGGGAAAGGGGGGAAAAATTCCAAAAAATAAAATAAACTCGTCCTTTCTCGGACCTAGGAGAATCTGGATGCCAACTTTGGTTATTCTAGCTTTTATAGCTAGCTTTGAATATATATATATATATATATATATATATATATATATATATATATATATATATATATATATATATATATATATATATATATATATATATATATATATATATATATTAGGTTTGTGCAAAGTATGTAACATGCAGAAGGAAGCATCTCCGACCCCATAAAGTATATATATTCTGAATTAGCATGACGAGAGAAATCGATCTAGACATGTCCGTCTGTCCGTCTGGATGAACGCAAGGATCTCAGAAACTATAAAAGCTAGAATAACCAAAGTTGGCATCCAGATTCTCCTAGGTCCGAGAAAGGACGAGTTTATTTTATTTTTTGGAATTTTTCCCCCCTTTCCCCGCTACAGAATTTCGTCAATAGCGTCCACATTTCAAATGCTACCTAAATCAAACTTTGCACACATAATTTATATATAATTATCTACTGTTGTTTATCCAATTCGGTCAATTCTAAGAAAAGTTATTAGCGAAACAAATTCTCTCCAGTGCAACCCACCAAACTGCAGCAACAAGTTCGCTCTTCTTCTTCCTCTTTTTGCTTCTGCTATGGGCGCAAATACCTCAGTGTCGGAAGTTTACCTGGGTACAGGGTACTTCACTATCGGGCTTGCTCGACTGTAACGTTCTCTCTTGTTTTTACTCAGTTCATTCTACATACCCTGGCCTTCAATATCAATTTTTGATAATAGTTAACAAAAGTTTCTCGTAAATTTTGTCACAAAATTCAGCTGAATAATAACCTGAATTTGACAGTCGATCAGAAGTGCAAGGATGCATTTTTGGCCAAAATATTTATAATCGAGTTTGAATATATTTAAATAAAATTTAGATTTTCGACTTTATGCCAATTATAATTTGGCAATTCGGCCCAATGTACAATGTCATTAAGAAACAAGAGAAAGGCAGAAATACTCTGTACTCATGTAAGAAAGCAATCAGTACCAGACACATCTGTCCATCGTTCGATGTGTATTACGATAGAGAGAAACGCATTAAATTGTACACCACCGGCGTCGGGAAGTTCAGATACTGAGGCCCTGTTATCTATTTTTTATGTTGCTCGATAAAGCCAGAAACTTAACTTTCCTCTCTCAATGTTAATAATAATATCTGGCAAAGCTTCTGTTACTGTAACGATTCCGCGGTCAGTATACCTTGTATATGAAATGCATACGTATGTATAAGAGCTAGAATGATCAAACTTTTATCGAGATTTTCTAAAACACCAAGAAAGTAAAGAAAAACAAAACAAACTTTCATCTTTGTGCAAAATTTGGTGTCTCTAGCTCTTATAGTCTCTGAGATCCAGGTGTTCATACGGACAGACAGACAGGGCTGGATCGACTCGTCTCGGCTGATCAAGAATATATACTTTCAGCTCCCGCAAGGCTAATATACATACTCTTGTACATTTTATGTACAGCGTATAAAAAAAGACAATTCACTAAAGACAACGTGGAGAGTCAAATAAATCAAATACGATAGAAAACAAGGGCCATAGGGTTGATAAAAGACTAGCTCAAAACGCAGTCTTCTGTACAAAAAAGATATATGTACTACATACGAATTCCACAATAATCACAAGATCTGAAGAAAAAAAATTGCAAAAAATAACAATATAAGATCATAATATTCGGATTATTTCGGTTTATGTCTATGTTAGTTGACTAATCTTTTAACACTAGAACGGTG